GGTTCGTGCACTGTATTACACTATAGACCCCCAAAGGAACGGCAATAGATTATCAGGTCACCCAACGAAAAAATTGACCCGTAATCTTAAAAGTGTTACGTGTCCGGATAAGCGGTTTTGACGTTCACATCCAAACGACTAAATATTTTGAATTGAAATTTTGAGACAAGGTATAAATACACCATTCCTCTATATTTTGGAGCTTAAATTTCATACGTACACGGACTTTTATTTCTGAGATTCTGTTAAAATCGAGGTGGTCCCTTTAAATACCACTTTACAATAAAATTCGTGCAATTGAACATTTTCTCGAATATTCACATCTGTAAATATTCAATGAACCAGCTCTATATCAACAACTGAAATCTGAGCGTGCAATCTTGTCTGCGATATCACCCTAGGTGGAAGCGGACGTTAAGCCCGACATCAAGAACGAACAATCCTTTGTAATCCGTTACACATCTGCTAGGTTTTCGAATGAAAATTTATCAAAACTGCTTTTACTCTAATCGTGTTCTATTTCATATCGGCCATATTAAAATAGTCTCGAAATGTGGTTTTGACAATCTTTCGTAGAAGGTAAAACAAGTTTCAAGTGGCCAACGTGTGTTTTGGGGGTTTAGATCCAACCAGAGACTTGGAAATCTGGTCAAAGCGATTGACAACAGCTCATTGTGTCATGCAAAAATTCGGGTTTAAGCAAAGCGTCGTTAAGTGACAAGTGACGGTTTTAATAAAATGCCCGTATGATAGCCAGTTATTCCAATTTTGGACAGGATAGCTTCCGGACTTTCTCTCTTTTCCCTTGTTTTAAGGACCAGTCTTTGCAAAAATACGAATCGTGTCATTTCCTTTCTCCCCCATACAGTTATTTCAATGAACGAATTATTAAGAACATATCGACGAAAGCTTTAGCCCGCATGTCACCCATATTCCTGAAGCAATGGCCCGAGAAATCCCCCTTTGGCCATTGCTGGATTAGCTTCTGATACTTGCGCTTTTGAGTGTGTCTATTCTTCCCGTTCAATCAAATCTATCCCCAAGCACAGCAACATGACAGTCCTTCTTTTAATCAGGAACCCTCCCTAAAACTTTGGACAGTGATTTAAAGTATTAAAAACGGTGAAAGCGGTGTTCGTCTCAAAACAATATTGTTTACATTATATCTGTGTTGATAGCCTCGTTTGTCACACAATTAGTTTTTCTGCAATATTCTGCTATGCACTGGTTAATTGGGCATAATAAAATCGTTAGTCATGACGTAACGTTATGTAAACACATTTGGTCCAATTTGGAGCTCTGTTTGGTATTAGGAATAATCTACCATCTCAATTTCGAAAAGGCAACTTGATAGGAGGGGAAAAATTTTAACAGCGTGTTGTGTCGCTCATGCTGACTCGAGCAAGGTAACTCAGATGTTCCTTTACATTGTACATGCGTTCACAGAGACTGACACACGACCGTTTAGCAGTAAACAGTTGCCCAGTAAAATTGACTAGGCCGATTTTAGTTTCGACAAGGATTCAATAGGACGGTTCCTGAACGTACAGGGCGAGTGTAATGAGACCTACGTTCAGAGCTGAACTAGATCATCTGGTGTTGCGACAACAGAACGTTAGAATATATCCTTGCAATAACCATGTTTACATAGGCTACTTATCATAAAATATTACTGTTTCTACTAATAATACACCGCGGTTATATAAGTGGTTGGGTCGAGTGAACGTACCCCCCCCCCCCCCGCCCCGTCTCTCTAGACTCTCTCTGGTTGAACTTGATAATCGTGTCAGTTGCGAGCCGTGTCTCTCTCTCTCTCTTGAACTTGCTAATCGTGTCAGTTACAAACCTTGTAAATGGAGTTCGTTCAACTCGGGGTTTATGTAATATAACGGGTAATGAAATAAATTTTGACCCACTGTACGAGGTTTATATAGTGGTTCTTGAATTATAAATCTGACGCAGAAAAGTATATATATAGTATCTGTCACAGCGAGGCTACAATATATATATATATATATATATATATATATATATATATAATATACTACAATAGAGAACCTTACTTTTTTGGGAAGGACATCCTAACTAATAACATTTCGCATTGGGTCGACATAATTAAATACGTCAAACTGGTACACTTTGAATTGAATATTTGACGCTAGAATACAGATTGAAATATGAGTAATACTTGACTGACACTTAATCTCAGCGCCCAAAATATTCTGCAGATAATGGTGCAGACGCTCAAACATTTTGGGACAAACTAATTTGTGCATATTTACATCGTAATCGAGCCCACGTTACCGTACTAGTAGCGATCTCTATTAATGTAAACCGTACATGTCTCTAGGGAAACGTTATTTATATTTAAAATAAGATGTGATGTCATCCTTTGATGTTGGCGTATCATTATTTCAAATACATGTAATGGTACGGGTAATGTGCCAAGCGTACATTAATTCTATACTAGTTAAAATTTTGGACCCGTGTGACGTATTTCATTGTAAAGCACGTGCGAGTGTCTGTATTTTAAGTTGATAAATGGTCCCTAGCTTAAGACATTGTAGTCAAATTACATCAATATTCATGTTGTGATCTTACCGGAAAAGGGTGGGCTTTTGATATCCAATATTTAAGACAAAATAAACATTTTACCATTGGTACACGAATCGTGTACCATAATGCGCTTCAGTCCCAGTTGTATCAAGAGACTCGAGGGACGAGGCTAGACACATTGCACCATAACAAACGGCGTATGTAGACTGGAATAACCAGACGCTAGACTGCTGGCTTATTTCGCCGAACATAACTGATTTGAAATTGGAGTAAAAACGGAAACCATTGAATGTAAATCAGTTTATGTACATTCATATTACAGTATTATATGCGTTGCGACCCACTTTTGTCAATTTCTAGGTCCAAAATGTTATCGATTTAGCTCCTGTAATGTCTCGCTCTCGACCATTAAACCAGATATATACTACCAACTCAACCACTTCGGTCCACTTTGGAACCTGGTCATGTACAAGGGCGTAGATTTGTCATAACTTTTTTTTCGGGGGGGGGGGGGGGACGACGGACGAACCCTGGAACCTGGAACATTTCATTACCAAAATTTGATTAGTATGATTTTTTATTGCATGTAGAAATTGTAACATTATTATTATTTTTGCGGTTTTATTTTCATGATGAAAGATAGGAAAGGCTAAAAACTCTAAAATTGCATAGGCCTAGATCTAGGCCCCACCCGGCCTTTATTTTTGTTTTTATTATTTCTATTGGCTTTTTTTTCAGTTTAACTTGATTTCTGTTTACCATTTTAGTTTCTTTTTCATATTTTTTATACTGTAAGTATGTCCCAGGTACTTTTGTGTAGAGGTTAACACATGTACCTGCTTATATTCGTAGATCATCAAATATATCCGGCTTGCCCAGAAGGGAAGGCTTTTTTAACTGGTCGTTTTATGAATTTGATTGACAGCTGCGATCGGTCAATTAAGGAGGAAGATATCGTAAAGATCAGTAACTGTGGCGAGACCCATGGCGATGGTTAGATAGCCTTCGGAGACTTATTCGTCCCCCCCTTCCGATTCTAAGGGGGGACGCGCCCTCTAAGGGGGGACGCGCCCCCTCCCTCCCTAAATCCACGCCCATGGTCATGTAGACTAATCGAACTATCACAGGCACTTGAAGGGATTAAAATAAAACTTCTTACTACTCTTTGACTATATATTCACCCGATCCGCCTATTATTAGCCTGCTAGTAGTAGAAAGTTGTTAGTCATTTTTAGATGCTGTGACATAATAAATTGACTTAGCTGCATTCGATATAAAATTTTGACAAGAAGAAAGTCCCTGTTACAGCCACGGTTATACCTCCATTAAAAGTCAAATCGGAATCTAGGCCACGACGAATCCCTAGTAACTCACTATTTTCAAAAATGACCGAAATATAAATTTACATTTGTTACAGAATCAGAATATTCCAAATCTTTCTAGAACTTTTGATTTGATGAATTTACATAGCTAACAAATTTTTTCATACTTTAGCATTGAAAAGAGATATTACGAATAACAATTTAACGTTCAATACATTTAAAACGAAAGGACAAATTACGTGGGTTTTTTTATTTTTATTAAATTAGTAGGCCTACAAATCGTTACTGCTATAGTCAGAAATACGATTGGAATAGATAATAGATAAGATCAGATTTTAATGTACCAAAACATCCATTAAGACGGGAAGAATACTCCTATAGTAAAGGGAGCAAATTATAAAATGGTGGATCAAAAAGCGACTCAGAACTGTTCGAGAGAAGTTTATGCAATGTACAGTGTATATGTTATAATTGTCGAAATTAGAATATAGGGACCTCTGAAAAGAAAGTTCATTAAATAATAATATATATGCATACAGCGCATATTTTCCTCCTATAAATAGGATAGGGCCTTGATTATCTACACAAAATCTCATCTTTAATCCCTATTTTAGTATTATTCATAAATATTTTGGCCGCAGTAAAATATGAGTAATTTAGTTGTTTATTAAAGAAGTCCACATTTCGTCAATAACCAGAAAATGGGAATAAAGTTAGTTTTCCAAGTCTCGATTTATTTATTAGGAAAATAAAAACTATACGGCCCTTGTTAGTTGCTACTATAGTAGATAACAAAGGCTGCCCTTGTTAGTTGTTACTGTAGCGGCTAACAATTTACCCCCAGAGGCGCAGAGGCACCCTTAGCGCTGCTACGAGCATCTAAAAATGACTAACAACTTTCTACTACTAGCAGGCTAATAATAGGCGGATCGGGTGATATATTACAGTAATAAGCTGTAATATATAGTCAAAGAGTAGTAAGAAGTTTTATTTTAATCCCTTCAAGTGCCTGTGCGAACTATCTATTCACATCCATTATTTATACGAAACCGTATTCCACCATACTTTAAAAGAAAACCACTAAAACATGTTATGGTTTTATTTTTAACATTAATATCGTATAAATATCGAGTTATAAATAAACCGCAAAAAATTAAGCAATTCATATAAAATGAATTTTATAATTATTTTTCCAAAATATTCTGATAATTAAACATAGGTTTCAAGGCAACGAAACATACGCCCAGATCGTACAGGCTACACAAGAAAAAAATTTGTCACAATTTTAATGTGTTTTATAAAACAAGGTAACAATTTCATTTAATACTAATAAAAATTAATAGCTGATCAAATCCAACAAATTTCATAAAGATCCAATCGGATAACAATAAATGAAAAGTAGGTTTACAAGATTTTTCTACAATATATTTTATTATACAGTTATGTACGTTACGAATGACAATTTGTCCAAATTTGCGCAGAGCAGGAGTAAGACCGTGTAGGTCTCCGGGATGCAGTTATAGTGTTGAGGTTAGGGCTATTGGAAACAACCCAGTCATATGAATCTCGGATTTATAGCACGTGATCATTCAGCTCATGTCTGCAAAAGTATCTATGAGAGTCGAAATAGGCTACCTCCAACACGTTTTCTTACCTGGGCCTATGCGAAACATTTCGCTTCGGCCCCTTTCTTGATACAATTACAATGTATAAACAAATGGGGGTAACTCTCAACACCCTTGGTATGAGAACAATATACTCTTTCCTTTATCAATGTATTTAAGGCTATTAGAAACGCGTACCAAATCGCCCGATCGACTTTTAACAAGGGAGCCGAGTAGATAAACGAAAACAATAGGGAAACAACACCTTGGTCGTCAAGAAAGGTGGTGGGGCGAAGAAATTGTGCTGCGTGAGATAATTTTGCGGTACCGCATGTAGACTATTCAAAAGAGACTGTGGACAATCGGGTGGATAGGGTAACGACAATTTTCGACCAGATTAAATGAAATGAAATGGGGTTTAACGTCCTACTGTTCTGCTCCTAAACTGGGCTAATGAAGACGGGCATACACCATACAGTGTGCGATGAGGGAAATTTTGCCCGGGCAGCGGCTCTACGGCCTACTCTTATATCGAATTCCAACTACCAAGGGATCTTTTACGACGACCAGATTAAGATGTGAGCGTATAAAAACGCCATTATGGTACTTGAGATAATTTTGCGGTACAATATGTAGAGTATTCTAAAGAGACTGTGGACGATCAGATGGGCAAATTAACGACAATATACGCCATTGTTTGTATCATCCATAAAAATACGAAAAATTAAAAGCAACTATACTGAGTAAAATATGTAACTAGTCCGCATTCAACGAACTGTCTGGTGAAAATAGATCGTAGTTAACTTCAGTACTTAAGTCAATATCATTAAAAGTTAGTGGTGAGTCCATTGCGGATGATTCTGGAGATAGTGGGGATACTAACATCTCCGGTTCATCTGGCGGCCATTTTACTATTTTTGGACTGCTCCCACTTGATGTAGCTTGGTGATCCGGGTACACAATATAGAATGTCTCCTTCTCAACGGGACTATGGACGCCGCTATCTAAGTCTTGTTCAATATTCGGCACATTCAAATGAATCGACGATGTGGAATGTGAATCATTTCTATAAATATCATTTCGGACGGAATGCGTGGGTGAAGTTGACCGTGAAGCATTCAAGGAAGAAGCGATAGAAAAGTCATCAGTATCTACTCGAAGTGATTGGGTTGATGGAGACGGGATATGTATAAATGTTGGAGGGGTGATATAATGGGGGGTAATTCCAAGAGATGAACCCATCTGAGATGGAATGCTAAGAAATTGATCTGGTTGAGGTGGACTAACCGGTTGTCTGGGGCTCGCTGGCATATCCACTCTTCTATTCAAACACGATTTGATTTCCAGAATGGATGACAGCGGGCTTCTTTCATCATAAATAATCGAGTTCCGGTAACCATTGAGAAGTTTTAACATTAAGTCCGAGGATTTAAAAGAAGTTTGAAACCCAAAGTTTGCATTCGACGATTTCAAATCATAGCTTGTAGATGCAGAAACAGACCTTGGTATTGATGTAAGACTATTTGGAGGCAAACTAACATTATGATACGGGGTTGTACTTCGCCTATAAAACGGGGCCTTTCTGGGCACTTCGTTGAGTTCATCACTTTTGAGCACCTGATCCAAAAAGCCTTCTGGCAAAGGACTGGGTAACTTGTAACCTGTCTTCCGCACGAATACAGTAGGAATATCAAGCGACCACGCTCTAAACAAATTTTGACAACAATCAGAATCTGTTAAACTTTTATCACTAAGTAAAAATATAAAGGAATCGGCTTCACAGAGAGATTCATAGCACTGTTTATTGATAGTATTGTGACATACGTAAGAAAAAGAACACATGTGTTCCACAAGCGATGGGGAAGGATAAAATGTCTCCTGGTCGAAATCACCACAAATATAAATCCTCATTGTCTTATTGTAACTATTTGCTATGGCAATAATCATCTCATTTTCTTCGTCAGTATCCGATTCCTTGGTTATCGATATCAAAGGTACGTTCGGTTTAATTTTTGGCAACACAACTGATGAATTACGGTAGGACGGTTTCGGTTTTGTTGGCACGCCTAAATCAGTTTGAGATCGAGTATCTTCGGTATAGCGATTTACATAGGGTTTTATGAAGTTCCAAAACGAATCCAACGAATAATCACGAATTATATTGGGATATATTTCTAAAAGGCCAGTGGCTGTATCTAGTATTTCTTGATGCTTGCGCATCCATTCCACGGCTCCGCGATAAGTTGGCCAAAACACGTGGTTCTTTTTACCACGGGGCACATGTGGAAGCTTTCGGCTTTGGCGACCCTGAAATTGTTTATGGCTGTTCATTATTTTGTCGTTATTTCTGGTGTTTCACGACTTCTTTACCATTTAATTGACATCGCAGCAGTTATTGCATAACTCTAGTTAACAGCATTTCGAACTTGTTTAAACACGCTGATGATAATTAATATAATGATACTTCTCCACACATTACAGCAGGTCTCCCTTTCTATGATGTCTTATCAAAGTCTTGTCGGATTATTTTCATCCTGCCATCGATCTACAATAAAGAGATAAAAGTGAGAATATGAGTAGAACCGTCTGGGGGTTTCTTTATCCGCCGTTCACAAAATAAACCATTTACAAAAACAAAACAATGCTATTCTCTAACTAATTCAATAATGAAGGTACCGAACGATAGACCACTTTTTTTGTTATGAATTTTCAGGAAATGTTGGTATGTAACTAATGCACATTTTATACAATATGTAGTCGCACATAGAGGAGTAGTGCCATAAATTTCATTGGAGCCCCGTTCATAAAAATTGGGTTAAATGTGGCAAATAATCGCTAAATTTGCTTTAAAAGGTAACAGATCTCATTTAAATTTGACTTATAGATGGTACTGGCAGCAGCTGCTGAATATTGTGAAATTTTCAATGCATATCTTTGTAAATACGAACGAAATTGAACTATATTTGGGATTTATTCCTTTTAGAGGATCAACTTTCAGAATATTGTAGTTTGCACAAGGGATTCAAAATCCTTCAAAGGAAGATCAGCAGCTTTAATGAATTCAAGTGTTGTATTTGTAACGTGACAATCGCGACGATCACGTGGAATGTGACTTACTGCCAGCTCCGAAATTATTTTTAAAGTTCAGATAGTTGCACATGAATATGATACGGGTTTCTAAGAGTCTTGCACAATAAACTTAACCAGTTTGAGTCAAAGAAATGTATCTGGAATGTCTCCATTACAATTATCCAAACTGTTACTCATGATAATCACCTCCTCTTTAAATTAACTATTAAACGTTTTCCTATTTTGCCACTTTTTGATAATTTATAGGATTTTTCTTAGTATTAGACGTGGACGTCTTTCTGGTTATCTCCGAAAATACCACAAAGGATAATTTAATAATAATTTCAGACCATCGACACTAATTAAGGTAATATTTACCAAAAAAGAATTATTAAAATTAAAAAACCTAAAGACCGCTATGGTCATAGTCATCTGTCAAAGACTGGAGGATAACTCATTTCAAGGTCAAGATAGTTTCGAGCCTAGTCTATTTGCTTTAATTGTTTAATTCTGTAGGAGGAAAATTATTTAAGATGAATTTTCGCTCTTACCTTTCCGCGTTGAAAAATCGATGCGGTGACATATATATCGATCAACCTTCGCAACATTATGACTATCACCCACTCCCCCCTTTGGAATCGGCAGGAAGATTTACACAATACTACCCAACATCATGCCCCAAAACTAATAAAATACTACAAAATACCACCACATACTACCTTATTGTGAAAATTCACGGAATTAGCAAGGATTTTTTTTTACGATAAACTGGAGAAGTCTAGCTATTTCACATTTCTAACCATATACTACAAAATGCAACCACACATTACCTCATTATATTATCCAAAATTGACAGAATTCTGCAACTACTTCAATATCAATGAATTAAGTCCAAACATTTGAAATTATTATTATTCAAATTGCGTATCAACTGCAGATGACAGGACCGGAATATGGCGTCGACGTGGCCAGCGTTATTCTGACCAATGTGTCATGGAACGAGACTCATGGGGAGGTTCAAGCATAATGGTTTGGGGTGGAATCGGCCTGAACCAGAGATAGTGGCCGTGGGTCCTGTGGTGTTCCAAAATCTTGGTCCAGGGAGAGGATGTGGCATCACAGCAGTGCGCTACATCGATCAAGCTCTCAGACCCCACGTCATACCACGTTTCGCACGTCATCGAAACAACGTTTTCCAGCATGACAACGCCCGTGACCATACCAGCAGAGTTACTCGGGACTTTCTACGGCGGAACGGTGTCAACGTTATTCACTGGCAAGTCCTTAGTCAGGGCTTAAACCCGATTGAACATCTTTGGGATGAAATTCAAGGTGGTTCAAGGTGCCAATGGCGTACATCAATCGTCTGGTCCACTCCATATATAGACGCTGCGTTGCTGTTATTGACACTCACGGTGGCCACACCAGATACTGATGTATAGACTGTGTACATATTCCAAACCATCTCTTAATGTCTTGGAATTGTGATGAATTAATCACTAATGTATCAACATACTGTTCAGTGAGTCGTTTTCTAGAATGAATTGGTAAGACGCTGGCTCGCTAGCCTGGAGGTAGGGTGTTTGATCCCTGCATTGGCCGAGAAAGTGATGCAGGACGGAGGGCCTGACATAGCACACTGTATGGCGTATGCCCGTTTTCATTAGCCCAGCATAGGAGCAGAACAGTAGGACGTTAAACCCCATTTCATTTCTAGAATGATTTGATTAAAGTGCCTCTCTGATTTTGAAATCGTACTGACGGGTTTTTTTTTTTTTTTTTTTTTTTTGCTGTTTAGATTGCGTGATCAAGGGAAGTAACTGGAAAACCGAAACATTGGCCATCACTTTTGCCGTACATTTTTGCAATTGAAGTATTCAGTTAGTTTTTCACAATATTGAGGTAGATTTTGGTAGTATTTAGTTAGTATTTGGTGGTGTTGGGTAGTATTAGGTAAATCGTCCCGCCCCCTTGAACATATTTTCATAGACACCCAAATCTCAGACAGTGAAGTAAAGGATTAATTAACACAACAACCATAGTAATAATGGAACAGTCCTAATTAGTACACCCCACTCAGCATTGTCTTGCTATATGAACACCTGCGCCAAATTTGAGCATTCTAATTCTAGTTCAATTAGAACCAGGGCCCTGTTTCACAAAAAAACTTAAACTAAAATCACTAAAATAGATTGTAACCAAAATCAAAATGCAATTTTAAATTTCGCGAAGATCGATTGTTACTTAAAATGCAATTTTAATAGATTTTAGTTAAAATTGTTTGCGCCCGCGCAGTGCACAATTCCGGCGAAGGCACTTAGGGTGTTAGCATCAACGCTTCGGAACTAACCGTTACAATACCAATTAGGAGAGTTACATACGTTGTAACAATGTCTGCACATGGCCAGACAGTCGTAGAGAGATGAAATAAAAAAGTTTATTGCGTATTATTCGTTTTGAAAATGTATCAGTGGGTTGGCCTTGAACTTGCATGTCGCTTTCGTGACCTTGGCATTTGATTTACTCGCAAGCTTTAATGGAAATAATGCGTATCGATAAACTACATCGCTTGAATTTCGTAGTTTTATGGTATTTTGGATAACAGAAACTATTAAGAATTGTCACAAACATGTGATATTTCTGACTCAAACGATTAATCTAGATTGTAAATTATTGTCGAATTTTATAAGTATTTAACAACTTGTAAACTAATACACGAAATAGCCAATGTTCCTATGCCTAGATTGAAATGTCAGTCCCATGGACCCTTTCTATAATACTTTGAAAATGCAAAAGTGCCACACTCTTTATTGGATAATGCCTATCTATCTTACTAAATTAAAATGATTTTCCCCAATATAAAATACCCTTGGCTCCTATATAAAACTTCTTTGATTTACGCTGTGTTATTAGCGAACGCTTTTATGAAGAAATAATAATAAATTCATGACATTAAAATTTAATTTCAAATAAGCCTATAAAACTTTTCAATAAACACGTTTGAGATTATTGATTATCTTTTTACAAATCATCATAACCCCAACATAACACTAGTAAATAAATTTGCATTTGGCGTATCTAGTATTATAGGACCGTAAGCCTTCTGTAGAAATATTGTCGTTGCGACATTGTTTTCAAATTTATAGACAAGGAATTGAGAAAAATGATGGCATTATATTGTATTAATTAATATCTTTGGCAAATTATTAGATTCACATAATATATGTACTTAAATCAAGTTAGGGAATGAATGGCATATTGTTACATAAAAAAGAGTTATAATTTGGTAAACATTAGCTGGTTCTGTGGGAAAAAGACTATCATGTATTACACGTGGTAGGAAAATTACGATTGCATCATTTGGATTGTTAAACCAATCTCTATACGTATTTGACCAATTAGATAATTGAAGGTCCAAAACCCAAAGCTACAAAACTAACATACTTGAGAATTCGCCAGACAGCAGACAGGTCCTGGAAGGAAAAAGATGTAGCAATTCCTGTTTTTTTGGTGTTTTGTCTATTAATCATTTGAAAATGGTATAATTTATACTTGAATCATATGGTAATATATAAAACAGTAAGTAACAAAGGACTTTGTTTACTGGGGTTTTGAGTGATTTTTTTTTTTTTTTTTTTTTTTGTTCTTGGGGTTTTAATTTGGGGCGTTATCTAATTGCTTATAGTGCCTTAAAATAAAATAATAAACGGGTGGGCCGCAATGAAAAGAAATTGAATGAGAATTATTTTTGTGAATGATAGTACATGTATGTTAAAATTATATGACCTGGGCCATTGGCAATATTATCACTATTCCAAATATATCTATATGTCGCAATAGATCTAAAAACGTAGATTTACGTTAGGAGAGGGTGACGGCTGTCCTAAGTTAAAATTGATTTTAGTTAAAATTGTCCTTAAAATAGTGTGGACAAAATAAACAGAGAAATACAAAAGCATCTTTTGTATTATAATTTTATCATGATTATTTTATACTCTTATTCATCCTTCTCTATTTTATATGTTGTGCTATCATCTTTTGTATTATTTTTTTCATGAAGGGTAGGATGGTAGAAATGTTGACGAATATTGCCATCACCCCTGTCCGCCGGCTCGACGTCCACAATTTCTTGTTCATTAGGTCTAGAGTTATGGGCCTTGTTTCACTTTGCTGAACCTTGTGAACGCTATTACGCCAAAGGTTATCATCCGATCTTTGTGAAATTTATATGCATTATTTAAATTAGTGAAACGAAAAATCCTATAGAATTTCAGCAATTTCCATTTATTACGTCTAGAGTTATGGCCCTTGTTTCACTTTATTGAACCTTGTAAACGCTCTAACGCCAAAAGTTATCACCCGATCTTTCTGAAATTTATATGCATGATTTAAATTAGAGTTATGGCCCTTGTTTCACTTTGTTGCACCTTGGGAACACTCGATTGATGAAAGTTATAAACCGATATGTATCAAATTTATATGCATCATTTGAATTTGTGAAACTGAGGTCTATTGAATTTCAACAACTTCCGTCAATAATTTCTAGAGTTATGGCGATTGTGAACCTTGTGAACGTTTGAATGACAAAAGTGGTCATCTGATCTGTATGAAAGTTATATGCATTATTTAAATTAGTAAAAGGAAAAAGGATGTCAAATTTCAAAAATTTCTGTAGATTACTTCCAGAGTTGAGACCCTTGTTTCAGTTTGTAGAACCTTGTGAACCCTCAAACGACAAAAATTTCATTTCTGATCTGTATGGAATTGTCTTGTAAAGGCCCCCAATTACCTACAAAGGAATAAATATGCTACAACCCTTGTCGACCTCTCGGACGTTTTAGCTGCTGTGGGCGTATGTTTCGTTGCCTGGCAACCTATCTTCATTCATGATACAATGTCCTTCTAAGATGATGTGTAGTTCGGTGTTCCTCGGTTATTCATCTAAGGTTAGACCAATTCTGAATATCACAGGTCTTTATTTGGGCCTTAAATGTTATATAAATTATTAATTAGACATTTTTTAGCATGACAACTCTAATGCCATCGAATACTCTAGATTTTAAGTAGATTAGAACGGTTCGGCGATTAAATGATTTAATTCAAATATGGAGAAGCGAGGCTAAGGCTCGAATGACCAATACGATGGTTACGGTCAACGCATTGATAAATTCGCTCAAAGTAAAGTAATTTGATGAAATTTTCAATTTATTCATTTGCATTGTCTAGTTTTGATATATTATAGCGAGAACGGCCAGCGCTTCGTCTAAATCTTGCATAATGTCCCTTTAAGAAATAAAATGGTAGATTAGCTGAATTTTTGCTAGCTCAGTGAACAGAACTACATGTATACGATTGTTTGTCAGCGGGGTTGAAATATTAAGAATTAATATAATTGTAACCAGATGAACAACTACTTTGCGCCGTCTACTTTAATGGCGCGGGTCTTGTTAGAAAGGTCTGTAGTCCTCAGATGACACGAAACATCGCGGAGTGCAGTAGCAGTATGCAAAATAAAACAAGAGTAGTAATTGTGCCTCAAAATATCATGCATAGCAAGTCTCGCCCATTTTAAAGGTACTGAGCGGTCAATAAAACCCATCCATTCGTTCACCCATTTATTCATCTATTATTATTATAAAGCGAACACTTATAAATATTTTTTTTGGGAAGATTGACTGCAACGTTATACAACTTTTTGATGACGGCCAACATAAACGGTACAATCCACATATGGTATTCGAACAGCTTGTGTTTTGTTAAAAAATAACTTCTGACTGAAACTGACCACCCCAACCTTTTTGAAAAGTTAAGAAATAAACTTTCAAAATCGCGAAAATGAAAAGGAACATACGCCGAGAAGTCGACTTCAAAGCTGAATATATTGTACATGCATAAAATTCGTAAAGAAGATAACAATAATGACCCTTCCTCAGCTGCAGTATGTATTCCTTCAACAACAATTAAACAATCTTCACGGATTAATACATACATAACGAACTGTATTCAGGAATCGATACATCATCAACAACATGAATTGACACAGCATCAACTTTAGACACTGACAAATCATCCACTAACATCAGTAATTCACCACCGTTATCCGCAACACACACATCATCCACACCGGTAATCTCTAATTATCCCATCCTGACAAAAAGCAACAGCGACGACGATGACCGTGACACTATCTTTGTCTACTCAGGGTCATAGGAAAACGAGGAAATGCGTTTACAGATTTAGTGAACGAAGTCGTGGAGAATCAAAATGTATTAAACCGTGAATTGAACGTTAACATTTTAGAACCAAATAGAACGAACAAAACTGGCGAGGAATGTAGAGATATTTTAACTGAATTATGGCAAACCTTGGAAAAAGACGCCAAATTTCTTTTTCTAAGACATGATTACCAAGAACAGAATTGGAATGTATTGGCTCAAATTCTTATAAATTTTGTGTTGAAGATGTGGTGTGTGTGAGGATGTGGAGTATGTGTTGATGGTGGTGAAGATGGGTCAAGTATGTGTTGATGACGGTGAAGACTTGAAAGGTGGAGTGGGGTTTGACGTCCTACTCTTACTGGGCTAATGAAGACGGACATACGCCATTCATTATGCTATGAGGGGAAATCTTGCCAGGACAGAGACGTTACTATCTACTCTTATATTGAATTCCAACTGTCAAGGTTTCTTTTACGTGCACGCCAATGTACACTGGCCCTCTGTTTTTCGTCCCATCCGAACGACTAGACAGCTCTCCATGTCCGGGCCTCCGTCCTGCACCACTGACAAGGAGTAACCTCTCCTGAAAATCCCAATGAACTTCCTCGGCCAACACCTGGATCGAACCCACGATGTCCCGGCTAGCGAGCCAGCGTCTTACTCATTTAGCCACCGTGGCTCACTTTTTGAAAGTGAGAGAAATGGGGTTTAACGTCCACTCGACACAAACTTGGTCATTTCTGGACTAACCCATGGTTCCTATTTACAATGCTGTATATCGTAAGATGATGCGACATGGATTTGATCAGCTAGATCCCATAAACCTGGTGCATAATACATGGTATTTGGATCTCCTCGTTATATTTTCGTTTCTTAGAGGACAACAATTAAAAGATTTTCACGAACAATACTTTTGGTGACTAAATAATTACCCGAATAGCTGGTCAACTTCTTAATAACCGCCAAAATCACCATTATCAACCCATTATCGAATGCACGACTTTACTACTTCCAGCTTCCTATTCCTTGATTTGAAACGCTCTTGGCAAAAATTACACGTTTTTGCCAACGAATCATTTCTTCTGAAACGATGTTGACGTAGGATTTCAGCTGGCTATAACCATCTAAATCCAGGTCAAGTAAAATCAAACTAAATAGACTTGTTTACTTTTAACCCGAATTCTAAGCATTTTGTGTACAGCATTTTATATCCAAGCTGCCTACTTGATTCCTTGATAAAGTTAATGTGTTCGACCAATTCACTGTAACGTCTATGACCTAGTTGTAAACATTTTGATATTCTTTTAAATGCCGTTCATGGTTAACGCGTGCACGTTGAATCATAAGGTCTGCCATTGAGTCAAGTGGCGTGGTTTCTATTCCCCGCTTGTGCGTGACAAGGAGTAGAGTCGCCTGTCCAACCTCGTGGTTTCCTCCCACTGCTAAAGACCCCTACGCACAGGCAAATTAATGAATTAAAATTGAACCATATGTGCCGAGTGAATGTTAAACTCTTTGTACGAGTTAGTATCTCGTTTGAACGAATTAATTACCTCATTCAAACGAGATACCAACTCGTTCAATCGAATTAATTTTTTTTTGTTTGGCACTAATGTACCTTCGTACGGATGCGAAGACTTAACTCCAGAAACGATACTCTGAGGCTGATAAAATAGTTAATAAGAAATATGTATAATGTATTCCATACCTTTTAACGTAAGAAAAATGCAAGCCACATACCTCCATTCTAAATGATTCGTCTACATTATAACATACCCACTGACCAGTCATCAGCAGATCGTCCGCTATAGGTATAATAATGATTACTATGGCAACCCAATCAATACAGAAAATAATGCTATATTGGTGATTTATACGCATGACTCGTCTCCTTCACAAATATATCACCAATATTAAAAGGTAAACATCGTTAACGGTACACACTGTCAACAATGTGGTTAGCGATACACGGTGCCATTCTTTTAATGTTTCGTTAGCTGTCATCAACACATACATTGATTTACTATTAGCGCTTTACCATGAATATATTGATCGTTTAAGTCAATCACATATCAATAGATTTTAATTTTTAACAAGCAGCTGTATTTGTCCAGGTTTTTTTTTTTAACAGATTGTCTCCGTTACTCGAGTACCACTTTATTCGAAACTTTAGGTTAAAATATGGCTATGTTGAATAAAATAATGTTTTGATTGTATATGCTCATCTTAACAACCACTGTGGAGGTATGAAGACATACCGCATTATCCTGATTCAGTTCGGGGGCAGCAGAAATTGTGTGGTTATAAAATTCCGGCGTAGGCCTGGAACGTTTTTCGGAATTATTTTAGTTCCGATTCTCACTTGTGGGGTGTGGAATTTACAAGCAAAATCTGTCTTGGCGTTCAGATGAAGGGGTAACTTGGTTCTGTTTATTTAAAAAAAAACACAACAATAATATGAGTTTTCCTACTGTATTTAACACCCCCTGTGGTGTAGGGGAGTGATAAGAATATACCTTTCGTATGTCTGCTTGTCGAAAAAGGCGATTAAAAGGATCCCTGTAATGGGGCAACGTGTTTGCCGTGTGTTGCGACCAGTGTCGGTGGAGAGTGGAATACTGGTAATTGAGTGGAGATGATTTGGCTTGCGGGCACTTTCTCTGCAACACATAGCTGTTGCCCACAATTATTCACCTAGACAGGAGGTCGAAGTGGCCCACTCTGATAAATCGGCTTTGGTCGTGTTTAGCTGACGAGTAGGCGCATCCTTCCCATAAATCTTTGCTGTATTTGTTGCAGTTCTACCTTTGCGTCCCGAGTGCCTACTCTAAAGCAGCAGCTTAGGACAACCGGGTAGAGTAACTGATTATATCTTTACTTTGTCTGGGTATATCCCTGCCTGTCCTCGTAAGGCGCATACGCTGGATATCCGCGTAGTAGCCTGCGTGGAGATGGCAACCCTTGGAAGTTGGAGACCAGACAGGGATGAACTTTCAATAATACTCCATGGCTTCCCAAATCAAGAAGACCCGTACTTTAAAACGAACTTCAACCGAGTATTTAGAAACGAATGATTTACCAAATAAAACATCCCTAACTTGGGACCTAGGTTTCTGGTTATTCGGCGTACCAACAATATTAATTTAAGTAAAATTTCTCTTTTTCTGATTGCTAAAGACCCTGCCAACTTCGACGGCTTCGCTGGTGAGCCGCAAAGTGTCCTGAAAATGAGAAATGGTACTCTGTTAGTGGAATGTGCTAAATAATCACGTGCTTCATCTTTATTAAAATGTAAGACTTTAGCCAACATTCCGATCAAAATTGCGCTCTCTTAATTCTTCAAGAGGTGTTATTCGGTCTCAGCATTTAAAAGGCAGCAGTGAGAAAGAGATGCTTGAAAATCTCGCCTTACAAGGTGTTACGTCAAACGTATGTCCATCAGCGGTAATGGCAATATTATCCAAACCAACACCTAAATCCTAATCTTTGTAGGATAATCAAAGCTGGTATTCTTGCCATTCCAATTACCCCTACATCCCAAATCTTGATGACCTTGGTGCGCAACTTCCACTCCCGTTTATAATTACGGGAGATTTCAATGGCCATCATTGTGTTTGTTAAATGACGGCTCGCCTACTTATATACATCCTGCCACAGGTCCCCTTTCCTCTCTTGATCTAAACATTTGCTCTCCGGTCCTGTTTCAGGATTTTACACGGAGAGTAAATGATGATCTGTTTGGCAGTGACCAGGGAAGTTCCAGGGAAGTATATTATCTCCCACATTGTTTTCTATCAAACTTAATACGATACCGACGTGCCTTAAACGTGGGATCGACGGCTCTCGATATGTTGATGACATCTTAGATGTGTTACGGATCGACAAGCATGCAGATTCGCTTGAATTCTCCTCAACGATAGGCAACTGACAATGGATTTCGATTTTCTAAATCCAAGTTTGTGTGTATGCACTTTTGTCAAAGAAAAGGTTTCCATCCTGATCCGGAACTTACACTGGATGGCAGTCCCATTCCAGTTGTTTTGGGGTTTGATATTTGATAAGAAATTATCATTTATCCCCCATAAAAAAAATCAAACACTGACAGAGGAGCGGACCGTAAGGTCTTGCTCAGATTACATCGATCCTAATAAGACCGATGTAATAAGACCTAAACTCGATTATGGGTGTATTGTATATGGGTCAGCCCGCGAGTCTTATCTCAAACAGCTGGATACTATGCATAACAAAGGACTTGGAATCAGTCCAGGAGCATTCCGTACATCCCAGTGCAGAGTTTATACGTCGAGGCGCACGAGACCCTAACGGCAGACGTTCATCTTTGCCTCATAATATTTCATATAACACCACATTTAGACCATATCATGAACATCTAACTAACGTTATTTCATCATTCGCATTTAACCCATTTTGTCAGAGGCTGGCATCAGTCATGATAGTATTGCGAAAACCCCTGGACTATATCGCCTCCAAAGATCGATTTAGATCTAACCAAAAACAAAAAGAAAGATACTAGTTCCACGGCGTTTCAGTCTCTCTTTCGAGAGTTAAGATCTCAATATGGTGATTATACTCCGATTTACACAGATGGTTCCAAAGATGGTTATAGGGTAGCTTCGGCTATCGTTACGCCATCTAGAATTATTTCTGTGAGACTTCCGTCTGATATTTACGGCTGAGCTCCAGGTCATCATTCAGGCACTGGAGTTCATTCAATCATCTTCATCGTCAAACACGTTATATTTATCGTCTGCTACTATCACAGGGTTCATCAGCAAGGACACTGTCCTTTGCTGGCTCCACAGTCATATTGATATTTAATGATCAAGCAGACTTAGCTGCCAAGTCTGCTTTTGATCTTCCCATATCACAATTTATTTTACCTTTCGCCGATTTTAAATCTTCAATTAATTGCCCTCTGTCTTTCGAAGAAAGCAGGGGACTATTAAAATGGGTTCGTCCGTCTGTCTGTTTGTCCGTCTGTCTGTCCTCACACTTTTTGGAACACAATAAACTCTCTTTCTAATTGAGCTAGAGTGTTCAAACTTGGTGTAGGTGTTTATTAGGCCAATGCCTTGATGGAATTCGAAGATGAGCATTTTCTGCTTAGAGTAAGCAGAGATAAGCAATTGATTGGTAGTGCTAATTAAGTAAGTGGAATGAAATGAAATGGGGTTCAACGTCCTACTGTTCTGCTCCTATACTGGGTTAATGAAGACGGGCATACGCCATACAGTGTGCAATGAGTGAAATTTTGCCCGGGCAGTGGCACTATCGCCTACTCTTATATCGAATTCCAACTGCCAAGGGATCTTTTACGTGCATTCCAATGTATACACGGGACCAATGTATATTAGGTTTTTCGCCTAATCCGAAGGACTAGACAGCTGTCCTTGTCAGGCCCTCCTTTCTGCACCACTGACAAGGGGAAACCACGTCGGAAAATCCAGATGAACTTTCTCGGCCAATGCAGGAATCGAACACCCGACCTCCAGGATAGCGAGCCAGGGAATGAAATGAAATGGGGTTTAACGTCCTACTGTTATGCCCCTAAACTGGGCTAATGAAGACGGGCATACGCCATACGATGTGCTATGAAGGAAATTTTGCCCGGGCAGCGGCGCTACGGCCTACTCTTGTATCGAATTCCTACTGCCAAGGGATCTCTTACGTGTACGCCAATATGTACACGGGACCTCGGTTTTTCGTCCCATCCGAACGACTAGACATCTGTCCTTATCAGGCCCTCGGTCCTGCATCACTGACAAGAGGAAAACCACGCCGGAAAATCTTGATGAACTTTCTCGGCCAATGCAGGGATCGGACACCCGACGTCCAGGCTAGCGAGCCAGCGTCTTACCCACTTAGCCACGTGATCCCTAATTAAGCAAAAGTGATGAAACTTGGTGTATAGTTTCATTACATCAATACCTTGACTAAGTTCGGTAAGGAGCATTTTCTGCTCAGGGTAAGCAGAGCGATAAGCAATTTGATTGATCGAGACTTTGGAACACAATAACTCTCATTCTAATTGAGTTAGAATGTTAACACTTGGCGCAGGTGTCGATTAGGGTCAAGCAATTTGATTGGTTGATGCTTTGAGACACGATAACTTTAGTTTTAATTAAGTGAGAGTGAGGGCACTTGGTGTATAGTTTTATTACATCAATACTTTGACTAAGTTGGATAATTAACATTTTCTGCTGAGGGTAAGCAGAGCGATAAGCAATTTGATTGGTCGAGACTTTGGAACACAATAACTCTTCTTCTAATTGAGGTAGAAGATTCAAGCTTGGTGTAGGCTTTCATTAGGTGAATGCCTTGATGGAGTTCGATGATGAACATTGTCTGCTTACGGTAAGCAGAGATAAGCAATTTGATTGGTTGATGCTTTGGGCACAATAACTTTGGTTATTATAATAAAGTGAGAGTGATGAAACTCTGAATATAGATTAATTATATCATTACCATACCTAAGTTCAATGGTGAGAATTTTCTGCTAAGGCTAAGGCGCGATAAGCAATTTGATTGGTCAAGACTTTGGAACATAACAACTCTGGTTCTAATTGAGGTAGAATGTTTAAACTTGATGTAGATGTTCATTAGGTGAATGTCTTGACTGAGTTCAATGATTAACATTTCGAGCTGAAGCTAATCAGAGCTAATCAATTTCATTGGTCGATGCTTTGGGACAAGATAATCTTGATTCTATCTGATAGAGAGTGATGAAACTAAGTGTATAGTTTGATTGCTC